TTGCTACGTGCTATTTGCCACGCCACTTTGGTGGGTGCTTTCATTGGTATTGTCAGATTATTAAAATATCCTTAGACTTTTGCATTGTGTATATACATATGTATATTTATATATATATATATATATATATATATATATATATATATATATATAATGTCTGGCAATCAATTCTACTAATTGCCCCGATGTATAATTGTATTCCAAAGTTTTCCTAATTAGTAATTTTACCTTCTTTACTATCAAACTATAGGACCGCTTCATCCTTGAGACGGTTTCTGATATTTTCCTTACAAGTTTCGAAATTTTCAACGTACTGTAGATTTTTCTTTAAATTTTTTATGGAAACAACCGGATGCATTTTTCTCGTTGGATTGAAAATTGGATTTTCACGTTGCCTGTACTTTGGATAAGTAGTTCTCTTCTTTCTCCGAACTTTTGTTTATTCTTGATTTCCGCAATTTGTTCTTAGTTTTTCTTAATTTATTCGTCTATTTCTCGCTTGTCTTTTTGTAATGCATTTTCAAATTTGATTTCTAAATTCTCTAGTTCTTTTTTCTGTAAATTTTCTCCTTAATTTTATTTTGAATTTTCATTTCTTGCTCTTTCATATCGTTCTTTATCATTGTCAAAACTCCTTTGCTTCTTTCTTTTCATACATATCTATGCGTTCCTCCACTTTCTTGTTGTTCTCTTCTATGGATTGTTTTGTTTTCTTTTGATTTTTATCCATTTTATCCATTGCTCGTCTTGTTTCTTCCTGATTTTGTAATTGTATTGGCATAAGTTGTAATAATTTTTTATATTCTGATAATTCCTTTTTTTATGTTTCCATGATTGTTGTTTTTAAATTGTCTTCGTGTCCTAAATGTTCTTCTTGTTTTTTGTTTTCTCCACTTTTATTTCTTGTCACAGACATTTATTTTCTACTTTCTTATTTTTCCTCCAACCTCTCAAAAATATGTTTCCTACAGGATTCGTATCCCAGCCAAATACGAAATTTTTATTCAGTGAAATATTATCCCCGTAAAATGTAAAATTTTAAATTTTCTCGATATGTTGCAAATATGGAAAAATTTTCCGCTCACACAAATACAAACTTGTCAAAAAAAATTTCTAAATGTCGTCAATGTCAAGAATAAAAAAATTTAAATAAAATTATTAGAAATGGAATGTATCAAAATTAATTTTTCACTCGACCAAAAAAAACTCAACCTCTCAATGACTACACCTCTCTCCTTTGATTGTGCTTTGTCCACCTTGCTCGTATCATTTAGTTTCTCCAGAATACTCCTGCTAAACTCCTGTGCTTCAAATCTTTACTACATGAATAAACTCCTCCTCTTTAGACACAAAGAATATCTCAAATAATCGACTTGGTAAAGTATAAAACTGTACATCTGTTTATTACTTACAGCATGTCAGTTATTTCTTCTGTCTGTTACCACAGTTGGAACTCTTTCCACCAAACACAAATACAACTTTTCACAATCTAGACTTTAAAAAGAGAACTTGTCTAATTAGCAACGTCGGCTCCACAAAAAAAAAACTATAATATACTCGCCCGATATTCAATTCACAATGCCTTCCTCTCCCTTGCAAAACTCTATCCAAAATCCTTTCATCTCCTTCTTCTTTTTTCTTGAACCAATCAGAACGTATCTCCATCCAAACAAATTTTACTTTCTTCAAATAAAAAAGGCTAACTTTCTCCCTATCTTTTCCTATCCAATATTCCGTCGGTCATCTAATTAACATTTTCAATTTCTAGAGAAAAAAATTATAAGTACCTCTCACAAACTATTTACAAACCTACCCTATTGTCTAATTCTCGGTAGTCCATACAATAGAAAGTTTAAGATATAACTGTTTACTAAAATGTCTATTTAAAATTAACCGTTAGAAAACTCAATATATTGTCTTCTTATTTTGGGGGATGTCTTTGAACCTATAAAATTCACTTTCCAAAAAAAAAACACTTTCTACAACTAATGCTAAACAGTATCATATACAGGGTGTTTGCGATTTCTGTTAGTAGGTGATTTGATTTTTGTCTTAATATTTTGCTGGTAACTGTTACCAGCTGTTCTTCGTGTGAAGAGGTTTACTCTTCGGCTCTGGAACTCACTTCAGCCATGTCTGTTACCTGAAGGCATATTTAATTTAATACTGAACATCACAGTTTTTTTACAACATGATGTATAATCTTTTACAACTATATGTAATTTAAAGGGTTTTTACCCAGGTATATGGGTGGCTCAGGCATTTTAACCTAGCAATTTTAAAATTTAAACCTGATGATGGACTGTTTAGTCCGAAAACGTTTGTTTTTTTGATGTAGCCCTTTTAAGGGTTTTTAAATAAATATACCCATTTACATTTTCCTTGTGGATTTTGATTATTTTTGCCTCTTCTACTTGATGATTTTATGCGGCTTTTTACATTTGCTATCATGTTTTCAGTTTCTGTTGGATTTAAAGCATTGTTTCTAATTTTTCTTCGTTCTTCTACTATGTTCAGTGTCTCATCAGTCATCCAATGTTTTTTTTTCCTTATGGTTTCTTTGGGGTTTGTAATGTTTATTGCGTCTATAATCCACGTCGTTGTATGTTCTTATGTTTGACTAGGATCTCCAGTAATGTTTGGTGTCTTACTATGTCTTGGTGTTCCTTTGTATTATATTAAATTGTTTTAAATGTTTTGGTTTTTTTACGAAAATTTGGTACGGAATTCGAATTGTAACAGTTTATGGTCTGTTCCGCAATCAGCCGCTGGTTTTGTTTTTACATTGACTACTGAAGTTTTCCATCATTTGCTGACAAGAATATCATCTATTTGATTTTTATATCTTCCCCTCGGTCTATACAATTCTGTTATTCCATACTACGAGGGCTTTGATCTAACTCCTATCGATTTTTTTTAGAGTCCATGTTTTAGCTGTGTATGTAAAAATGGTAAAAATAAGAGCATTACCTGAGTTTAGTATTCCTTATTATTGTTTGGTTTTTCAAATTTTAATCAGTTTGCCTGTTGCAGGTTGGGCCATTGCTAGTCTACGCTTTATTTTTGAGGAGCAATCGCCATTGTTGGTTATCAGGAAACCGTAGCATACATATTGGATTCGATAGTAAGCAGAAAATAAAAAACCCGTTCAAAAATTTTATCACCGAACAAAAGCAGTCAAAGAAAATGGTATATAATTAATGCTTTTTGTGTTATAACATGTGTTCTTCATACACATTCTTACTAACCAATCAATAATCGAGAAACCATAGTTTTAATAGTAGTATGAAATATCAGCAACTTTTTTGTGGATTAGACTGCTTTTGCATCAGTGTGACCTTAAAAATTTTAATGGAAATGTGGATTAGACCTGGAGTACAATACAATTAAACAATATTAATATTGAAAATATGCTTTATTAAAAAACAAAGTAACAAAAATACTTAATTTTCATTGTTAATGAACTCCTCTTCTTGCTGTAGTGGATCTTATTGTTCTGGTGTTTTCTTGTATTGCAACCACTGAATCTGTAACCATTGGACTTTTGATTTTTGTGTATCAAGTTTTCGATTTGTTATTTTTATTTTTAATTTCTTATTAAAATAGAAATCGTTTTCTGTCATCTTTATTTTCGTAAAATGTGCTTTCATTCGTGCATGTGCTATTACCTTTATCCAGTCGTCAGGTAGGTACATAGATATCTTTAAAACAAATTTTGCTTACTTATTACTCCAAAATCTTCGAAAGCAACGTCACAGGCAACGTAAAAATGTCCGCTAACTAAAAATTTCTGATCAATATTTTGTACCACAATATCAGGATGACACAATAAAATCGCAAAGGACAGCCATTTTAATGTTACGGTTCTGCCCTCCGCATTAATCGGAATATAGTATTACATTTTTTGTTGTAACAAAATTTTTAAAATAATTCAGTAAACAGGATCCTATTTCTTGAGGTCCTCGTGATGCTTATGTCTCGTGCCAAACATACATATGAGCATTATAAGTAGCCAAATTATGGACTCCTAAGACGTAACCACAACTGGCGTTTATAGTAAGAAATTCCAGTGCTGTGGGCAACGTTCGCATCAAGTCAAATGCAATCACTGTAATTTCTTCAGGATTTTGTTTTGCATACTCTGCATCTTGTTTTATACCACATCTAGCACGGTCTGCTTTTTGTTGGTGAACCTCTAGTGTTACTGCAAGTTCACGTTTTTCTTCTTGAACTGTTGAGAACTTTATTTTATTGTTATACAAATCACATTTTTTTCACGAATCCGTAGTTGGTGCATGGAATCCAATATTAAATTGGATAATAAATATTTTTCGAAATATGTGGATAAGACAGGATTACTAGTATGTTCTCCTTTGTAAAAGTTATAAAGGATTCCTAAAAACCGGTCTATCCTACAAAAAAGATAGTTAGCCCAGTCTTGCATTCATTTATGTATTGAACAATTTTGGTCTATTCCACAACTTCGTGGGTTAGCCCGTTCGTGTTTTCAAATTTTTGTTATTTTCTATAATGCAAAATCACCTTATTGGAAAGATTTATTTTATAATATACGGGAATGTTGGTTAGACCGGTTTTGCTATAAAACTTTAGGTCGTTAAAAGTGATTGCAATCTATAACTCAATTATCAACAAAATGTTAGTTAGCTCACTCTTGCTCTCATAGCCTCAAATATGAATATGTTTAAATAGCGAACTATTCGCGAACGTTTCAATAATTTAAGCACAAAATATGCGTTAATTTCTTTACAACGCATATTGAAGGTGATTTCAAACATTAACGTTATATATATGATATATAAAACCTGATTAATTGAACAGTCTAGTAATAATGTAAAAATTTAACTAAACTTTGCTAACTGATGCGATTAATTGAAAGAGAAGAAAATTTTAAACTGCGATTGACTGCTTAGGATATATCACTCTTTTTGATGTTTTTCCATAATATTATGACGTTACTTCAAATTATGATTTAAGGAATTATTAAATTCAAATATTTCTAATTCGTGTTAAAACGAATTTAACAGTGAACATAACATATGTGTAAAAACGGGGTATTTGCAAAAGTTAAATAATATATTTATAGTATCCAGAACAAGAATGAGCAGAAAATATCGTATAGAAGAAGAAAAAGCTAAGCAACTTCAGGAAGAAATTCTAGAAGATGAAGATAAACTTAAACAACAAAGGGAGAAGCTATTTGGTCCCCTAGTATGGTGCAAATTATCTTCAGGAATTAAAATTATAGATTTACAGCCTATTAACTACGATCAAGCTGCAAATATTATTCTGGATTATTTTGTGAACGAAGATGTTATTTTCCGAAATGCAACTCGTTTCTCTGATGACGTAGATTCGCTTGCTTCCTTTAGGGATAAGTTAATTGTGTCAATGATGGATAGAAGCTCTATTATAGCAGTAACGGTAAAATCATTTTTTGTTTTATTCAAAAAAACTTTACCTACCTGTTTTAACAAATATAATTTACTTTATTTTTACAAGTAATATGACACAACTTTATATTGGTAGCTTGAATAGAGACCATCATATTGCAGACATTGTCAAATATTAAATACTTACATAGGTAAGCAATCAACCATAAATAGTTTATACAGGTTAATAATTATGATTAATGCCTTAAGTTTGTCAAAACTTGTACATTTTTCTTTTCAAGTCTTTGGTCCAAATATTTATCATCCTAAGAAATATTCTATATAGTCTTATATATATTTAGATGTGATGAATAATGATTATTATGAGTCCGCTGGATGCAAAACTTTGTATTTACTGTATAAATCAAACTGACTTATTTGCAAAAAACTGATAAATTTTGCAAAAAACCTTAGACATAATAAATGGCCCTTTCTTGTGATACTTAAATGCTTTATTAGGTAAAATATAATGATTTTTTTCTTAGAAAAGTTATTGGGTTTGCTAGAAATGGAAGAAAAATTTGAAAATACCGAGTTTTGCAAGTGAACTATGTAAATACAGATTTATGCAACTAACAATTGAAAATACATGATAATAGTCAACCATTAACGATATTAGTGGTTGTTATATTAGTCTGTTTTCTAAATCCAGTGTGTTAGGAATAAGGAAGAAAGCATGTGGAAGTAAACTTTTAGTGAAGTTTATTTTTATCCAAAGTACAAAAGGTATTACAAATTATAATATGGATATATTTATATTGATTCCTAAACTCTAAGTTCCTCTGGGTCCTCATCATCAATATGATCATTTTCTGCAGCACTCTCGTTATTATCTGCTTGTACGCCAGTATCTATAATTTTATAAAATTTGAGATCCGGCTGGTCTCTCCAATTTTCACCAAAATGGTTTCTAAGGAGAGTGCCTATGGACGATTTATCTCCTTTCAATGAACATCCAATCTGTTGTAACTTTGGTTTCAATAAAGAAATCTTTTTCCCTTTTCGTATTATAGACTTGCTGAACCCTATGTTAGAACGATAAAATATTTCCCCCCTTACCGTAGCCATATAATCTTTGTCCTTAGAAAATATAAATCGTTTCGTTGCATTACATTTAAAATGCCAATGCCACTGGGAAGGTTTTTTAACAACAACGTCACTCGTCTTTCTCCAGTCTGATATCTGCCAGTCTTTACCAAGTCTCAGCACCTTTAAGGGTTTTGCAATTATGTCTTCATGTTCTTTTCTGTTTATTACAACGTTCTTCTTTTTTATCTCCCTTTCTATCATACCGAAAATCCTATCTGGTGGCAAAAAGGAATGACCAACAACAGGAAACGTAAACTGCACTTCCTTGATGTGACCAGGTGCTTCATAAACCAACCAGTCGATTATCATAGACATCATCGTGCTATTTTTGTTCTGTCTACCACATCCATCTGCAAATAGGTGAACTTTTTCGATTTGATATTTAAAGTTGAATTTTATGAGAGTATCATGTACAGCAGAGGCAACAGCATTTGAATCTTTTGGATGTTCAAACTCCAGCCACGCATATGACGTCACATTTGCAGAAGAAAGATGGGATTTCGAATTTCCAGCCACGATGGTGAAATTATAAAAATTTATTTGCTGTGAGAAATAAGCCGCCTGGTCGGGAAGCTTTGACAAAGAAAGATTTTTTTGACAATCAAAAGAAAATATTTGTACTTATGTTATGATTTGATTCATTTATTAACAAAGAATAAAAGGCTTTAGCTCTTAACGTATGAACTCTCTGCTATGTTATAACCTTTAACTTTTCTTCTTCTGAATTTTCTTTTCTCAAAATTTCCTTCGCTCTGAGACACGCAGAACAAGCATCTACTAAGGGTGTGCCGAAGGATATGTTGTAGTGTTCATTAACGTATGTTCGGAAATATGATAACTTTACGGAATGATGTGGATGACGTTGACAATACATTCTGTAAAGCTTTGTAAAATTCAGATCACATGGCAAATACAATCTATTCGATCGTCCTCTATTATAATGACTCTCTGCACCGTTCAAACGCCCCATAAATGTTTGGATAGATAATTTTATGGGATCAAATCTATCTTTTGTTGTATCTCCCCCTCTTCTCTCTTTTGGTATTTCACCCCGGATAACAAAAGTTCTTACAACACGCTCTATTCTTTCAGAACTTAAATGAGTTATTCCAAAAAATGCTGTCTTGCAGACTCTTAAAAGTCCACCCTCTACTGTAGGAACAAAAAATTTAATTGAAATTCCATGTAGGTTTGTACCTGATCTCTTGGGCTTTTGACCTTCACAAAATATCAGCAAAAAAATATCTTGTTTTATTTTGTCAGTTGTTGAATACAGATTATTATGGAAACGCTGAATGTCTCGCATCTTTAAATCTATACAACAATACACTTTCTTTGTATGGTTACAGGTGGGAAAACCGGGTAAATCCTTAGGTTTATGCCTAAAAATATTGACAATAAGTCCCAAACCTATCTAGTTAATTGTAGACACCTCTTACCTCTTAAGTTTCATTACATTTCGTTTCCATTTTTCTGTTTGTACAACTCGTTTTCTCCCTTTTCATTTTTCACAAGGTCTAATATACACATGAAGATCCATAATGTTAATTATTTGCAATAAACTTGGTGTTTTTAGTACTCAAATAACAAACAGTGAAATCGGTAATGGCGAATGATAGAATAATTGACATGTGCACATGAGACGTGTCATGTGACTCAAACAATGTAAGCGATTGGCCAATTGCAATTACACAGTTATGCAACTGGCATAGGCTGACAAATACAGAGTTTGGCGTCTGACTCAAGATTTCTATTGCCTTTTTCTTAGTAAATACCTTACTTTGCTGCTGAATTTCTACATCAGCAGATAGCTATAACATGTGATAAATAACTGTCAGCTAAAACTCAATTTTTACAATTTTTGCAAATACAGAGTTTTGCATCTAGCGGACTCTTATGTACCAATACAATTATTTTGTATCTATGTAACTCCAGATCGATTAACCTTTTGACAACACGTCATATCATTGCGAGAAAACTTCACAAATGTCGGCATTTTCTTGCTAAAATTTACCATTACTGTAAGAAGTATTCGTAACTCTTTTTAACTTTAAATAAGTTTAAAATTTCAGAATTTAACATTGAAACCCATCACACATTTGTCGACTTCAGGGCCGCATATGACAGTGTCAAGAGAACAGTACTATACCAATCAATGCGTGAGTTTGGTATACCAGAAAAACCTATCCGATTAACGAGATTGACAATGTCTAACTTAGAAGCCAGCGTTAGGCCACAGGGAGAAAATTCTTGATCCATGGAAATAAAGGATGGACTCAGACAAGTGGTTGTTTTGTCTTGCCTCCTATTTAACATTGCCCTGGAAAAGGCAGTCCGTGACACAGAAATTAGAGATGGCGGTACTATTTACAAAAGATCCATACAAATCTTAGCATACGCTGGTGACATTGACATAATAAGGCGAAACAAGCAAAATTTTTTTTATTGTTAAATTGCATATTTTTAATCTACCTTATACACAGAGTAATAAGTAAATAGTCTATACGTAAATTAACGTGAGTTAGGTACCGTTCAGTGACGATTTTCTAAGTATTATTGCGGTAGGTCTGCTGGCCATACTCTCTTCAATCTTCTTATGGCAAGTGATTGGGTGAATAAATTATTTATCAGTTCGTTGTTGTGATCAGTGGTGCGATTTTCATATTTTATTAAGTGAATATGTATTATGTCCTTAAGTAATGGGATGTCCAGATCATTGTGAAGTGTTTGTTTAGGTACATACCATGGAACATTACTTATCATACGGAGTATTTTGGATTGGAATGTTTGAAAGACTTTGTATTTAAAGATTTACTATAACCTCATAGTTCTATTTCATATGCCCAAACTGGTATAAGTATAGCTTTGAACAGAAACATTTTGTTTTCAAGAGATCTGAGATCACTGAGATCACTGAGACCCTTTGTTAAATAGACAGTTCATATTTTTTGATTTAAGATCTAGTTCTTTCCGTTTAGTTTTAATGTGCGTTGTACATGTAAGTTTTTCATCCAGCTGCAATCCCAAGTATTTTACAACTGGTTTTATAGGTATGGGAGTAATATTAATATAAACTTGTGGACATGTGGATTTTTTGTTTTAAAAGTAATTTGTACTGATTTGCTAGCATTAACACTGATCTTCTATCGCTTAAGCCAGTTTTTTAATTAACCTAAATGATTTTGTACTTTTTGTGATGCTACATTAGTTTCGATATCCACTGCCAAGATTCCTATGTCATAGGTAAATGTAGCTAGGAAGGTATCATTGCTGATTGGGATGTCTGCTGTAAATATCAGATACAGAAATGGTTAACGGTTAAGGTACGTCAGATTGTATGATGTGGTAATTTGAGTAGCTGTCTTCAATTTTGACTTGAAAGTAGCGGTCAGTAAGAATATTTTAGTATAAACTACAGCTGGTTTGTTAGGTGTAATTTCAGTTTGTAGAGGAGACCTTAATGCCATACTCTATCAAATGCCTGTTGTATATATAAAAATACTCTAGCGCAAAACTTTTTCTCTCCGAGAGTTGTTTTAATTTTATTTACTATTCTGTGGCTTTGTTGGATGGTTCAGTGCTCACGTCTAAATCCTAATTGGTGTTGTGATATAATTTCGTTTATGGAAACAACCTACTCGATTCTATGTAAAAATAGCCTTTCTAATACTTTTAACATTATTGGGACTAGGCTTATAGGGCGATATGAATTTGCTTGCGTTGCGGGCTTATCAGGTTTCAAAATCATAGTAACTTGAGCAAATTTCTGAAATATGCAATGAATGAAAACTGAACTATGCAATGTGAAAAGTAGAACGTTTCAGTTTGGTTAATATAATTTCACTTACAATGAAACCTTCCTGCCTTTACGTGAATTTTGACTCAAACTTCGCGCAGCTTCATGATCAGAAGTGTTTGCACTATCTCTAATAGCACCACTGCTTTTCTCGGTAGCTTCTGAAGTAATTCCCCTGTTATCAAATCATAGCCAGGAGCTTTCTTAGGATTTAGCATTTTTATTTGTTGTCGAACCTCTGTCGGAGTAGATGTTGTCAGAGGAAGAGATAGTTGATATGGAGTTTCGAGGTACATTCTTATATCGTCATTTCCATCGTTATTAGTATCTGGTGCTGCGAATACAGTTGCAAGATACTCTGCGAATACTGTTGTTTTTTCTGCGTTTGTACGGGCCCAGGTCATATCTGTTTTTTCTTAAATATGAATTTGTTATTGTCGGTCGTTTAAACTTTTTTTCAGCTTTCCTTATAGAGTGGTCTTCATGTGAGAGGTTCGAAATATACAACATACAGTTAGTAGGTATAGGTTGGTAAGTGAGATTCACTAAAAATTGATTAATTAATATTGGATTTATTAACGCTAATATGTAATAGGTATATCAACCTATAAGAAGTAACGATACTTTAGTTATTTTTACTAATCGAGATGTGTAATATAAAGCCATTGCAATTTAGTGCAAAAAATAAACCTAAATAATTAAGTAACACATTTGAAATAGATGGGGATATAGATATCCTCTCGGTCGTCAACTAATTGGAGATCACATATGCGAGTTTTAATTACTCATGGCGAATTGAAAGATATGCAGACACTTATTTAGGCGTCAGTATTTTTTTTCAACGTATAAAACCGATTCGCTTAGTACTAAATATATTGTTTTATGAAGAGTACTCCGCAACTTCAAAAAAGAAGCAAATTTATCTTTAGTGATAATTTACAGGTTTGAGAGAATCTCTTGTCTCAGCTTTACTTATTTTTGATGATGAAATAAAATGTTGATGTCGTTGAGTAAAATATAATTTTATTGGCAGCTACTAAACGATTACACTTTAGTGGTTGTTAAGGTAAAAATTTATAATAGACTGCGTCCCAAAACTAGTCCCGAAGCTATATTTTTAATCTCTCTAAAATGCTACGATCTATCAAATAAGTATATTGCCCTCTGCATACAACAAAAGCCTTTCCCTTTGCAAAGCTAGCAAATATAATTTGAACCGAGGACATGATTGCAGGTATTTCCTCATATTAGGCAATAATTTGCAGGAAGTTGAACTAACTGTAATTAAGCTACTAACTAATGTTAAATGTTTCACAATTATACACAGTAAATCTATACAAATTCAGAAAATTAAGATTAATGTGAGGTTACAAATTATCGGTCTAATTTGTGATTGGACATCTGGGCAGAAGTATTTTTTAGCCGATCCTTTTATGGCAAGTTGAGCCGTTTTTTCATTACCATGTATTTTACGATAACTAATCTGTAGAGTTCTTTTTAGCATTCTCATACTAGTCCAGAGTTAACATCAAGGCCTCTTAGAGCCTCCATTATCACTTGCCTATCTATCCATATATCGTTCAGCTTCAGTTCGAAAGCCTTCGTCATTTCTTTTGCACTATATAATAATGAACTAAGAATATTTTTTGACAAGACATATGACAATATGACAAGAAAACGTCATAAAAATAAAAGGAAAAAGGTTATGGTCATTTAATTCTTCATTAAATACATAATTTTCGTTAATACTAATTAATCTGAGGTATTTAGTTCAATGGTGATATTCGGTTGATTTACAAAGAGTAATGATAATGATAATAATGGGTTTTAAAAGATATATTTTTTTTATATTTAGGTAAGTTAAAGAGTTATCTGCGAATAAATAATTTAGTTGGAGCATTATATATTCATTGCGCACTTGAGGTATCAGGACACTCAGAATTTTCCGTATCATTTGCTTGAGTGCTAAATTAAATATAACTCTTAAGTGAGGTATTACACACTGAAGGTAATATTCTAATTATGACTCTTCGAATTCAGATTGCGGTTAAATATTTTTTGTTACTGTTGTTCCGTTTTCCTTCTTACTTTTTGTGCTATATCCAAAACTATACCAAATAAAAATAAATAAAAGATTTTCAAAAATCGGTCCCAATTTTGGAGTATATTGTAATTAAGATGTAAATTTTTGTTTTAGGAAGATGATGAAATTGCTGGTATTTTAATACTTAAAGCTGTTAAAAAGTCAGATTTTGGAAGAGTTTTCAGCAGAGTTACAATTATTCAGGGAAAACCTTATACTAGCATCACAAAATTTATGAATAAAATCAACAGAAAAGTGGATGTTTATAAAAAATTTAATTGTGATATTTATTTAAGGTATATATTATGTAGTCCTTAACTTGTATGTATATGAAAATCTATATTTTATTTATTTAAATCTAATAGATCTAATAGACAATGCTCTTCTTATAACGGCAATATGTACCACTATCGCCCTAAAGTTGGTTGGCTTTAAGATTCTCCTTATTTCGTGAACACTTGTCAGAGCGTAGTGTCACTTTAAATATTACAAGCTGGCTATCTCCATTGGCTGCGATCCTCTGCTAGATGAACGACTTAATGTAGGGAATTTCCCACCAGAGTCTTTACTTTGCCTGAATATCTTTTTGCAGATCATTCTTTTGGTCTTAGGTATTCTATATTTTATTAACTTTGTCTAGGACAAGCGTAAATTTAATTTTTAGGTCTACCCTTCGAATACATCAATCGTCTATAAATTTTTTGAGAGTCCATATTTTAGTTAAGTATGTAGCAATGGAAAAAACTAACGGCATTGACCAACCTGAGCTTCTTCTATTTGCAGTGTCTATCCGTTTCTAATGTTTTAGTCTTCTCATAATACATTTTTTGTTAATATTATTTTTTGTAACCCTTTTAAATCTAATCCCAAATTTACCAATAACAAAATATGATCTAACGATACGTCAGCACCAGGGTAACTTTTAACTGATAAGCATTCATTACGGATTTTCTTGTTCACTTTAATTAATCAATTTAATTCCTTATTATGTTTCCTGGTTGATCTTGTGAATAGACTTAAGTATACAAACTTCTTGGTGGTAGTTTAAAGAACGTATTCAATGTTCCAAATTCTTTTTCCTCTACAAATAAATTTAATCTTTCTCCCCTTTCATTTTCTTTACCAATTTTCGGATTTAAGCTACCCGTAACAATGGTTATAATTTCTTTTTTAATTTGGTTAAGTGAATTTATCAACAAATCATAGAATTGCTCCACCTTTGCTTCTTGTTTACGACCAGAGAAGCGAAGCTTCGGTACGATACGGATGGCGGAAGTTGCAACCCTAGATTTTAGGGTTACTATAAAATCAAACCAAACCTGCAGCGTCTGTTCCAGAATGGGTGGCTGCAAACAGAGTCTGACCCAGATTGGGCGGCTGATTTAGAAACTCACCAATACGCAAGGCAAACGCGGTGTTTTAGTTGCCAAATTTACCCCCGGTATGGCGAATTTCAACCGAATTGTGAATAGTGAACCTCAGGTGAGTAGATCAGTAATAGTAAGTCCCACATATCATAAAGTCTGCCTCAAGGATTTTGGGGGAGGCAAAAATTCGCAATCGACAAAATCCAAAAAACACATATTGATGTATATTGCTACCTACAATGCGAGAAGTCTGTTGTCAAAAGAAATACTTACAGAGATGAAGAGTGAAATGTCAAATACGAAATGGGATATTGGTATAAAGCCTACTCGATATTGGTATAAAGCCTACAACTAATTTTGCAACTTTTTTACTGACATTAATTGCTACTCCATACCGATGTTGGCTGTCGGTACTACTAGAGTAGAAAAGTCGACCATCGGTTGTACTTAGTTCGCCGAAGTCGAGCCTTCTTGTGTCACTTATTCCCTATATGTCGATCTTAAGTCGCATTATTTCTTGTTCTATGTTCCTTAGTTTACCAGGCTTATACATGCTTCTAACATTCCATGCCGCTATTTTAAACGTTGAATTTTGTATTTTTAGTACGCAGGGATTTCGTTGGTAAACGACCTGAGGAGCCCAATCTTGGCATCCGAGAACCATGACTAGTACGGTGATGCTTGTCACTAACTGCCATGACGATTTCTAGAAGTACTCTACGAGTCTTTAATGCAATGGTTCCCCGTTGCCTTCTGCATCCTTATGCCGTTGAGCATTTCTTGGTTCATGCGCCTTCGAGATAGATTTCTCTATCTCAGGATAAAAGAGTGCCCTTTAATCTACCAGCTCCTCCACCCGAAACCGTTGGCCAGTATTTGACTTGATTATAAATCAACCCTAAAATCTAGGGTTGCCACTTACGCCATCCGCACCGTACCGAAGTTTTGCTTCTCTGCCGTGTCTGCTGTTGTGGACTTCATCCGTAACCCTGGACAAGGGACCCTAACCAGGTACTAGTTTGTCGGGTCAGAAAACCCCCGGAATCTGCGGAGGGCAGGGATTGATTCATTTTCCCTGATAGGACTATCTTCAAGAATTTAAAGAGTTCCTACCCGCTACCTGCTGGTGATGAACATAAACAATTTAATCAATGATCAAACAGAAATAATTACAAATATTATTGTATTATTATTTGTAATTATCTTTCAAAAGGCCAATAAATTTTTGTTCTTCGTTGGACATGTAATACGTCATATATGTTATAAGGTTCTTTAACAAGGATGTTTTTCTTTATCCTGGACCTCGCTTTAAAAATATTTTTTCTTGTGGGATTGCTTGAAGAAGGGTATATTTGAATTAATTTTGCACAATGTGTTCGAAGTCTTGGCCCTTCTTCATTCTTCTGAGGACCTCTTTATTTGTAACTCGGTCAGTCCACGAGATCGTAAGTATTTTCCAATATAGTTACGATATAGTATGGTTTCGATATAGTCAAAGTCCAAGCTTCAACATTATAAAAAAAGACAGAGAAAACAGAGCATCCCAACATTCTTACTTTTACCAGGGAAGAGAAAGGTTGTGGCTCTTGAAAAAGGCCCCAACCGGTCAAGGTAAATCAAACTTTTTGATGCATGTTCTTATCTCCTGGCTGTTGGTATTATCATCGTTTATTATGGTGCCGAGGTAGTTAAAGTGCGTTACTCTTTTTATTGGGGTTTATTTGATGCAGAATTGACCTCCTGTTATCTTTTTCCTTTTAATTATCATAAGCGTGGTTTTCTTTGCGTTTATACTGAGTCAATATTGTTGACTATAATACGTGATTTTAGTCATTAGGACTTTTAGGTCTTCTAGGTTGACTTCTCAAAGATTAAAGATTATAGGAGACAAAATACAGCCTTGTCTCACTTCATGCATGATTTTCACATATTCGGCGAGTTTACCTTTGATTGGAATAAGATTGGCATTGAAAACAAAGCCTCTCTCGTTTCATCATTTATAAACCCAAACTGGTTGAGGAAAATTTACTTTTACACAAGTTTTATATTCTCTCATGGATTATCTTTCGAAATACTTTTGGGAGATGATTTATAAGGTTTATCATACAGTATTCTTCGTTTTTTTTTGTTCCTGTTTTTTTTAAGTGCAATAAACTTTATATCAATTTAATTATCATCAATAGCCTCTCCTAATTAATTTTAACTTTTATCTGCACGTTGTGAAACTCCTAAAGCCTATGGAACACTGTAGAAGATTGTGAACAATTTGCAGTGGGAAGCAGGGTCACGGCTAACGATAGCGAGAAAAATGATCCTCTGAATAATAGGAGGTTGAAATTAAGGTTAACTATATGCTCTTGGAAACACGATAAATTGTACATGTTTAAATAAAAAAAGCCAGACTCATTAAACGAAGACAACTGTGCGAAAAAAATAAACACGATTTGAGTGTGTTAAAGACAATGTGCAGGTTATATAGCTATTTTATGTGTAACTTTTACAATTACTAAAGAAACGAGGTAATCGATAATCAACAGAAGAAAAAGAAAATTGCGCAAAAACAGATACAATGAAGTGGTATCAAAAAGTGTAAACAAAAGAATAAGATAAAACTGAAAATAAATAAAGAAACGTCCTTAGTTGATAGTGTATTTATTGAGTATATACCTATATCTTAAAAAATATCACTGTGCAACTAATGACAATAAAATTTTTTTTTTAATTTTGAAGCCAAAACCCGAATAAAACCAAGATAGTAGGTATTGAGCATTATTCATTAAAATAAATAACATAAAATATACAACATTAATAAAGGCGTACACACAGGAATACTAAAATATTTGAGAAATCAAACCATCTATGGAGAATTACAAGTGTAAAAGGGTTTTGAGAAAACTACAAATTAAAATATCAAATAATTAAATTAAAACGACGACGTCATTTGAATCACTACAATTTAGTTTTTCAAGAAATCTTTATTCCAATCGCAATAAGTCTCTTTTACCGATTGGAGAATATGCGGTAACCAATAAAAATAAAGTTTTTTTGCAAATCCTTGATACAGCTTAATCACTGGCAAGTGGAAACAATACCCAAAAGAGCATAAATATCACAAGTTATGTGGGTATTTTAAAACAGCATTAAAATAATGTTGCAATATTTTTATAGAATCCACAACCATCGATCTTAGACTACCTTCGTGAAATGCATCTTAAAGAGAATCACGTTCACATTTGCATTCGGGCAACTAGTGAAACTGTATCTATCTATCTAATCAGTCTTAAACGCCCACTCTTGGGCATAGGCCTACCCTGTTAATCTCCATTGGTCTCTATTTTGGGCGATCTGCATCCAGTCCTTTCCTGCCGTTCTCTTAAGGTCGTCAGTCCATCTCATCTGTGGTTTTCCTCTTATTCTTTTTTTTTCCCATGGTCGCCAGTGTAGAATTCGCTTATTCCATCTTTCATATTTTTGCCGGAGAGTGTGACCGGCAAAGTTTCATTTAAGTTTTGTAACATGTCTTGATACATCGTTCACCTTTGTTTTTCTCTGATCCATGAATTTCTTTTCCTGTCTTTAAGACCGATACCCAGCATCTGTCTTTCCATTGCTCTTTGTGTTTTGGATATCCTGTCGATATTCTCCTTTGTGAAAGTCCATGCTTGTGAGCCATATGTGATAACTGGTAAAATGCACTGGTTGAATACTTTCGTTCACATATATTGAGGGAACTTTTAATTTTTTAGAATTTATGATAGTTTACCAAATGGGGCCCATACTAGTCTAGTTTTTCTTTTTATTTCTTTTGTTTGATTGTCCCTGTTTAGCTTTATTATCTGTCCTAGGTATATATATTCTGCCACCTGCTCTAATTTATTCTGTTTGACTACTATTTCTAATTGGTCTTCTTGGTTTGTCATAGTCTTGGTTTTACTATAGTTCATCTCTAGACCTACCTCTGTCGCTTTTCTATCTAGTTCCTCAACCATCTTCTGTTACTCTTCCTTTTTACCTGTTATGAGAACTATATCGTCTGCATATCTGAAGTGGTTCAAGAGCTCTCCATTTATTCTTATTCCGTATGTATCCCATTCTAATTTTTTAAATATGTCTTCCATAGCCGTATTGCACAATTCTGACGATATTGTGTCTCCCTGCCTGATTCCTCTTTCGAATTTTATTGGTTCTGTAGCGTGTTCGTTCGTCAATTTTATTGTGGTACTCGCATTTTTGTATATATTTGTTATTAGGTCCGTGTAGCTGTAATCAATTCTGCCGTTCTGTAGTAAGTTTTTGATGGCCCAATGTTCTATGCTGTCAAACGCCTTTCGTAAGTCTATGAATGCCATGTATAATGCTCGTTTTACTTTTAATTAATTAACTAGTTTTACTAATTTAATACTCGTTCGACTTTTAAATCAGTGTTTTTACTGTTGGCAGATGGTCGCTAGTACCAAAACCCTTTCTGAGTCCCGCTTGTTCTCTTGCTTGGTATTCGTCAAGCTTAGTTGTTAGTCTATTTGTCATGATCTTCGTTAGTAGTTTAAATACAACACTTAGTAATGTTATAGGTCTATAGTTTTCTAAGTTCTTTCGGTAACCTTTTTTGAACATTAATAGTGTCTCCGCATCGTTCCAGTTATCGTGTATTTCTTTTGTGTTCAATATTTTGTTTATGAGGATATGCAGGACTTCTCTAGTTGTTTTCCCTCCTCTCTTTAGCATCTCTGCAGTTATTTCATCTTTTCCACGTGACTTATGGTTTTTTAATTCTTGAATTGCTTTCTTGATTTCTGTTTTACTTATTTTTGGTTGTAGGTCAGAGTTTATATTTTTTATTTTTGTGTTTAATTGTTTAAGAATTTCTTGCTGTGGTTTATGTCTTGTTCTGTATAGGTGCGTATAGTATTCTTGTGTCAACTTTATTATTTGTTTCACATTATTAATGGTTGTTCCTTCGCTGTTTGTCATTTCATTTATCTGAGTTTTACGGAGTCGTTGTTTTAAGCATTTCATATTTTTGTTCTGCTGGATTACTCTTTCAATCTTTGCTTTCTGCGTTTTGCTCTTGGTTTCTTTTATGTCTTTTCTAATTGTTTTATTGATTTTAGTATATTCTACTGTGTTTCTTTTGCCCTGTTTGAGTAGGCTTCTTCTTGTCTTTATCAGGTTTTCTACTTCTTTTGAGATATAATTGTCCTTTTTTGTCGTCGATTTTACAATTCTTTCCCCTGCCTGTAGCAATGTAGTTGTTAGTATTTCATTTATTTTGTTTGTTTCTTTATTTATTAAGTCGATTGTATTTGGGGTGCATTTTTTTATTTCTTTTTTGTACTTTTCTTCGTTTTGGCTAAGTTTCTCCATATCTAGTTTTTGTACGTTTTTGATTTTCTTTCTGGTTTCAGATTGGCTGTTAATTTGTATTTTAGCCTTCACCATTCGGTGATCGCTGCCTGTTGTGAAACAGTTTAGCACTGTGATATCCTTGACTACGTATTTTTGTGTTGATAATATGTAGTCGATCTTGTTCTTAGTTTTGGTGTCAGGGCTTATCCAGGTCCATTTTTTCTTTGGCTTCTTGTTGAAAAACAAGTTCATGGCGTAGAGTTTCGTTTCCTCCATGTAGTTCATCAGGGTTGTCCCTCTTTCGTTTTGTACACCATATACATATTTTCCTATTTTTGTTTCTTCGTCATTTAGTCTTTGTCCTAGTTTGGCGTTGAAATCTCCCATCACAATTGTTAGTCGGGTCTTTTCTTCATCCAATACTTTTGATATTTCTTCAAAGAATGTTTCAATGTTTTCATCTGAGTATGTACTGGTTGGTGCGTATATCTGAATTAGTTTCAAAGTTGTTCTTTTAAATTTAATTATCATCTCTCTATCTGATATTCCTTTGATAGTTTGTACATGTTTACCAATTCTTTTATTGATTATAAATCCTACTCCGTTTTTTGTATCATCTGGGTTGCCCTTGGAGTACAGTATATTACCAGATATTAGTTGAATTCTGTTTTCTCCTTTTCTTCTTATCTCTGTTAGCCCGATTATGTCCCATGATATCTTGGATATTTCCTTTTCTAGCTCATGTACCTTTATGTCGACGCTCATTGATCTAATGTTGTATGTTCCAATGTTCAATTTTGTCGAATATCTGCCTCCTACAGAATCCTTGAGGCTGACCGTTTTCGCGGTGTGGGAGTCTGAGCTGTAAAACTAGTGAAACTAGCTAAACCAAATGGTGTATCATGCCGAATTTGGATGCTAATTAATCGACTAACTGATCAATTATTGTATTAATTAATTTGGACAATTATTAACTCATCGCCTACAAATTATTTCTCTTAATAAATATAGTTTTAAATATTATTTAAACATTTATAAAAATAGTCATTAAACTTTAAGAAAACTTACTTAGTGATATCATAGTTATTATTTTTACATTGACATTTCCATATTATGTTTAAATTTCTATAACCCTTGTTCTAACCCCTATTTGTTATCTTTCTATATCGCTTGTTAAATATTTTTCTACATCATTAAGCGAAATAAAAAAATGTGTTTTGTTTAAGATATTATCTACTCTGTATTAAACCTGAATATAGAGGAAAAGGACTTGGTTTTCGATTAATGTCATGTGGATTAGACGTTGCACGACACCTTAGGATATCAGTAGTGATGGGAATTTTTGATTGTTGGAAACTACAGCAGTATGCAGAAAGGCTTGGAATGCAAAGATTTTATGAATATAACTATCGAAAATATCGCGACCGAGATCGAGAACTAGTATTTTGCGATTTGGGTGCAGGAAATTTTACTTGCTCGTTTATGGCAGGCAGAGTAGCATCTCAAACAACACCAGGAGATACTAAAAAAGTAGAAAAATAGCACACTAAAATTAATATATCTATATATGTATTAATATGTCATTCAATCAAGAAACAAAATGTCTAATGGATAAACCCGCCATTGTATGTGTAAGTAATTTTAATTAATAAATTATAAAAACTCTGTGATTTTTTAATCAGATGATTAAAAGTGTACTACATATACTACTATTATATTTTAAATTAATTGTCAATAAAAAGTGTTAAGACCAAAGGACTTTTTAAAAAATTTCTATCAAAACACCTACAGTCAATATCTAGAGTCCAGACATCATAAACGTCTAACTACCATACTGGCGTAGTGGTAAGTGCGTCAACTCACTCAAAGTACCGCAGACGTTTATTTAGTACTTTTTAGTATAAGAAATTCTTTGTAAAGACAATAAAGAAATTATGGATTCCAGATTCATAGTCAAAATTTTCTTGTTATCAGTGTTATCAATGTTAGAACTACATACCTAATATTTTTATGAATATATAACTTTGATTTTTATATATTTTTATTGTTTTTTTTTTCTTTTATTATCTTCTTGTTTTTTTGTTTTGTTGCGTTTTTTTTGTTTTTGTTTTGTTTTTTGCTTTTTCTTGTTTTTTGTTCTATTTCTATTTTCTTGATTCTTTTTTGTTTTTTTTGTTTCTTTTAACCATATTAATACATTATGCCTATATACTATTTACAACTTGTATTTACATATTTTAACATGTTTGTAAAGGTAATGAAGAATTTCCATATGATTTGAAAATAATAAAAGATTAACCTTTATTGGAAAACAACACATAGGATTTATTAATTTCTTATAAAGTTTGTTTATATTATTAATTTGTAAATCACATTCTTATATAATATGTGTTAGATCGCCTATCCAGCCACAAGTACAATTGGGAGTATTTGATAAGCCGATTCCATGCATGCAAGATGGCGTAAGCGTAAGAGCATGATTTGCTCTCAGCCGATTAATGGTCTTTATAAAATGTCGATTAGATTCTATGTAAAACCATCTTCTTGAGGGTATCCTAGGGTTACAATGATAAAAGTTTATGTCAGTCTTACATTCTCTGTAATGTAAATGCCAATTATTTTTAAGTTTTTGTCTACTAACGGTGTCAATATCTGTCGCTGGAATTAAATTTTTATTTACTTTTTTCCCATTCATTAGATCGTCGCCTAAAAGCAACAGTACGATATGTAAAACAATGTAGTTTCGATAATAACTTTTTTATTTTTAAATGAGTTTACGTGAAATTTTGTTTGAGTACGTAACTTTACATGTGCCAAATAACAATTTATATATAAAAAAGTGAAAATAATTGGAAAAAAAGTTAGTTGTCCTACTGTTGCCCTCAAAGATAATCTGTTTTTTAAAAAAAATATCTCGTAAATTTCTGTTATATAATCTTATATTGCACTAAAGTTTTGTTTAAAATTTTGCACATTTCAATACAAAAAATAAAACAATTTTGTTGTTCAAACATGTTATTACATAAATAATAACAGGAACATACATGTTCCAAAAATTTAAAAATTTGACAAGATAATAAACAAAATAAAATAAAAAATTATCAGAATCAGTAATGGGACCGTGCAAGTTTGGAACAGCGACACCTGGTGTCGTAAATCAACAAAATTTACTGCGCTTTCATGTTAGATCGAGGTTACCGGATAACTGTCAAGGACGTAGCCCCAAAAAAGAATAAAAAGAAAAAGTAAGATTGAGGTTATGTCGGTATGTTATTAAAAGGTAAACGTTGTATGTAGTGTAAATACAAATAAATATAATATTAAATTACAGTATTACTGTTAATATGGATGCAATAATAAAAACTGGATTTGAGAAAGTAAATCACCAAATACCTTTTCAACCAAGCACTGAGTCAAATGGAAAAGCTTTAGTAGTGGCAAATGTCAAAAAAGAATGGAAGAATTATGTGGAAGAATTAAGAAAAATAAATTACCATAAATAATGCTAATGCATAAATTAGCAGGTTAAGCCCATGATATCATATTGGTTTGAACAATTAATTCTTTCCCTGTAAACTTTTGGACAGCGAATATATCTTAATGCATCTTCAGAAACACTTGCTTGAACTTGATGCATTTTTGTAAACTTCAAAAAAATAAAATTTAAAGTGAGTGTTATGATGAAACTAAAATTTACACTTAAAAGTGAAGTTTTATTTATTATTTATTTCAAACTGACTTTAAAATCGGGCGCAAGAATATTGCATAATTTAGGTTATGTTACTTATGCTTTTTTATGATATAAATACACTTTTCTCTTTGTAGTAATTTGTGCTTCGAAGTTGGAAATGAATAAAACTTAAATTGGCAATTTTTTGTTATATTTTTACAATTTAGAATACACAGCATTTCCTAAATCCCATTTTCTTCAGTGGCAGAAGGTGTAAATAAACAAACGAATATGAAATATGACAATTGACAATATGAATTTATGAAATCTATGAAATTTGCAGTAAAAAATGCAAGATTTCTCCGATACTTGCGCACGATCGTTTCTCGTATCACATCCAAGTACTTGTACGTCGCGTCGCCAATAGCGGATACTGAAAGTTGTGAAAGAAGAAATTTATTGAATTTTAATAAATCAGCCCAAAATTTCTAAAGGGGAATTTAGCATTAATTTAACGTATCAGTGTTATTTTTGTTTGCTAAATACACTAAATACTGACTTCTAGATACCCACAATTTAAATTGACCGAATTATTCATTTTTACTCTTTAACATACACCTTTTAACATTAATGTAATAGAACTATTGTTTAAAATTACTGAAGATAAACTTGTGACCGCAAGCTGGATAGTATAAACAAAGACATAATCGTAACTCAGCAATAAGTACATGGCAACAGTAGGATATGTGCGTACGATAACTTAATGTTGCATTAATATAGATGACCAAAATGGGTAAACGACAAAAAATATAATGGTATAATATGTATGTTGTCTTAGTATTGCATTATAAAATTTGGGCTAAAAGGAATTAAGCTATACAAGGATATGTAATATGAAAAAATTGTATCACTTTTTATTTATTATAGTGTTACACTCAACAGAAGGGTTTATTTCGAATCATTTGACATGAATATCACAAAAGTTTTTTTTACATAACCTACTGTTGCTTTGAGGCGACGATATGCTGATTTAGCCAAATTGTAAACGATTTCATTGTCTTTTATTCATGAATGTCACTTGATCCATGTAATTATTACATTTAATCCTAATTGTATAGTTTTATACAGAATTTTAAGAATTTTCAGTTCAATGTGGTTTATGCGTTTGACTATTTCAATGTTGTTAAATCTGTCGACCACGCTTTTACTGTCATCATTTCTGCTGTGTATATTGAGCACAGGGCACCCAAAACTGGGTAAACTATACTGTTGATGGTAATTTTTATTTTCGTTGAACTTTGCACAGCACGTTCCATTTGCATCTTTTGACCCATCAGTAAAAATGTGCTAATAATTTGTCCATTTTTCTTTTATAATTATATGAAACATATTTGGGAGTAAATGTGAATACAAGTTATATATTTTAACCTTTCTAGAAAATAGTGTTTTTACAATTTCATCGTAGTAGGGCGGAATTTGGCTTTAATAGAGAATATCCTTATATTTTACCGAACTTAGATCGCTTTCTACCAAAGGTATAGATTTTTTTAGTTCTCCAGTACCTATGGGTGAGGTCTAAAACTGATAGCTCATAGAGATTTTGAAGGTATTTACAATTTTTGGACATAATTCGGATTGTAAATTTGTCACTAAGGAATTGGCGGCGTAAATGCAATGGAGATTTCATTGCTTCATTTTCCATTAGTTAGACTGGAGTGGATTTTAAATGATCTAGGGATAATCTCAGGCATTTATTTTTTTAAACTTGAAGTTTGTTTAGGTATGTATTGGCCGCTGATCCTATTAAATGACAAATATTATCGAAAATCGGCCTGATCATGTTACGGTAAAACATCAAAGCAATATTTGGATCTGCTCCCCAATTTGTTTTAGTCTAGATAGGTACCAAGGTACTTAATACAGTTTTTTATAGTGAAATTAAATAAAGATGTAGTTCTGATAACGTAAATATTCTAATTTCTCTTTATTAGCAACTGATGAACGACAGTTCCACTGTAATGTGTTTATTTTATTTAGGCCCTCGAATTTTATGCTAGATTTTGTTGAAAATGGTTACTAATTATGTGAATTAATGTTTGTTAAACCCATCGTCTATTTTATTAACGTGAATTCTGGGCACGCACTGTTGTCAAGTGATTCCCCTTACAACTAAAACATACTTGTGTAAACTCAATTTTTATACAATCCTTTGAATTAAGGGATTCCTTTTGCAATTTCAAATATTCAATGACTATCATATTGTTTAATTCTATTTTTATTATACTCTTTCGATAAATTTGTGTCTATATCCCGAATAATTCCTAATCTGTGTTAAATAAATTTTGGAATATACAGATCTTAATTATGACTATCATATTGTTTAATTCTATTTTTATTATACTCTTTCGATAAATTTGTGTCTATATCCCGAATAATTCCTAATCTGTGTTAAATAAATTTTGGAATATACAGATCTTAATTATTTAAACGAAACATTCTTCACGAGTTTTGTTTTTAATAAGGTTATTAACAGTTTTATAATCTTTAAAGTTGACTCTAATTATATTTCGGCCAAAGGCGTCTACACTTGAAATCATATTGTCGACTTCAGGAAAGTTAGACAAAATAATTTCACCAATCTTTCAATAATTTAGTTTACCTTTAAACTCAGTAGAGCTATTCTCGACATATACATGATGCGGTCATTACTATTGAATAAAAATGCTTGCTTTACTTGTTAAGTTTTGTTGTGCTGCATTGTAAACATTCAGATCGGTTGTATTTGGATTATTCTTCAAATTGATTGGAATTTGAATACTTACAGAAAGACCCATTTCGGCATCACTTTGATTCTCAAATATATTTCCAGACATAGCTAGTTTTATGGGTTTTTTGGGGTTAGTCCCTCCGCTTTTGACACTCATATGGTAGGTAGTTCAATAAACGATATGGCTTTACGGTTTACT